AGGTTCCTCATAAAAGACTGTTAAGGAAAATAAATGGGTATTGGGTAAAGGAAAATGGTTCATTGGATTAATAACTGATTTCATTAAAAGATACAAAACAAAGAAATGTAACGGAAAGTTTTTAGGTTTTCCCTAGAGTAGCAGAGGTAGAAAAAGGAATTTCTCAGGGATCCAGTGTTGTTTTTTATAGTCTTTAATTAAATATTAAAAACTATGTTGTTGTCAATACCAAACATATATTTAAAATATAGGAAATATGAGATGTTTAGCTGTCTCTTGTGACAAAAGCCTGAACTGTTCATAACTTTCAGATGGATTTTCTAGGACCTCTTCCATAAACATCCAAAGAAACTGCTCTTGAAAACAAAACGAAACAAAAAAACCACCCAGATTTTATCTGAAAAAAATAATCTTAACAAAAAGGACTTTTTTTTTTTTTTTTTTTTCCCATTCTGCTCTCCAGATCTGATTCTATTCTGGGTTGGAATATCTCTATTCAGGAAAACTCATGGCAGTCACTCTTTCTGATGATCCCTTCTGTCTTTAGGAGCACATGCCTGCCACACTGACCATGGTCTCATGGTTCAGGCCAGTACCAATGCTGCCATATCATGTCCCTCCTCCTCAAAGCTTATGGAGAACTTCATCAAAATACCAGCTTCTGACATGTCCAAAACCCCTCTGGTGGAAAGACGACTTGAAGGAGAAATGCTCCTTAGAGTTTGACATCTAAGATAGCTTTAAGGGAGGTTTATGAAGTTAGTCACTGTCAGAGCAGCCAATGTTTAAGTGTAAGCTAAGGTTAGACAAGGATAAGAGGCTGTTATATTGATTCTGAGGGCTTCACACAGGTATTGTGATGCATAGGTGGTCACAAGAGCCTGCAGAAATCTTCATGGCAGAGGTTCAGGTGTGTGGTGGTGAAATTCTCACCCCTCCACCCACCCCAGTCCCCTTGGTACTAAGTATGATTACACTCACCTCCTCCAGGCTATATGCCAACCTGGAGAGATAAGGACTGCTAGTGGCAGTGAATCAGGGCGTTAAGGTGCCCCTTTAATGAGCCTGGATCCTGGCCTTCCCTATCACTCAGAAATGGTTATAACAGTCCATCATCTCCTAACAAACTGGCACACCTGTACCTGAGATGTGATCAAATGAGAACAATAACAGAGTTGCACATTCAATTCTTGTGCAACTCCTGGAAAATACCAGAATGCTTCATTGTTCAATATGGGCCTGAGAAAAGTATCTGACAAAAGTCAATTATCTTGGGCCCTATAAATTGCGACTCCAAGTGAGATCCTTTGAGCTCTCCTGGATTGCAGCGGGCCTGTGACCAGCAAATCCCCTGAGCTGGGACACCTCTCGGGTCTTAAAAATCTTAAGGTGTCATCTTCTGTCAGAGCTGACAGAAGGCCAGGGCAAAGTCAACCCTCTTGAGTCTCAACTATCAAAGCTCATTGAGGAATGCCGAGGCATTGTGAATATTCACTCTAAACTCAAGGAGGGAACTTTTACTTTGACCTAGCTTCTCTTAGTCTTTCTCTGCTTATTGGTATGTGTGGGTACATACTTCATTCTACTGGATCTGATTACTTTTGTCTCGTGTGTGCGTGTGTGCTTGCATGTTTTGTGTTTCTGTATGTGCATGTATGTATGTATTGATTTAAGACACCGTATAGTAAGTTAGAGTGAATCTTGTCATCTTTGAACCTGTAGATAAGTCACTAATTAAATTATAACATTTTTCTGAATTATTTTGTACATATTTAGACCAGTTAATGATCAAGTGTTGTTAGTTATTAATGAAATTTGATTTGCAGTTAAATCATTACTGTGTTAATACTTTCATTCTCGACAAGGTGTACCACTAGTTGTTTTCTCGGTAGTCTCTTTGGTCTTGCTGTCCACTCTTAGCAATCCACCAACACTGTGTCTGTGATACAAAGCCCATGCGGCCCAGTTCTGGACCCAGAACTGATTTATGTGCATGTATATAAGACATATGAGACAGGACAGGGGATGATGGTTTTAAACTGAAAGAGGGTAGATTTAGATTAGATATAAGGAAGAAATCCTTTACTGTGCAGTTGGTGAGACACTGTAAGAGTTTCCCAGAAAAGTGGTGGCTACCCCCTCCCTGGAAGGATTCAAGGACAGGTTGGATGGGGCTTTGAGCAACCTGGTCTAGAGGAAGGTGTTCCTACCCATGACAGGGGGATTGGAACTTTAAGGTCCCTTCCAACCCAAACCATTCCATGTTTCTATGATTCTATGATTGCTCTGTATACTCCCTCTGAGAAGGTGTTGCAACAGGATGGAACACCAACAACCTGAGACAGCGAAGTGCCATTGGTGGTGCCAGTGGTGCAATAGTGATCCAGGCCCTCAGGGAGGCAGTGACATTTGTGATATTTTCAAAAATTGTCTATAGAAGGTTCATTGAGTTTGTGTAGCACTCATATACAGGGAGTGATGCTCTTGGGGAACCATACTACATAAGCTGGCTTTGAGGACATAGCTTGCTGGTAAGCTCTTTGGGGCCTGGTCCAGCCCCTGTAAGGACCAAGGTGCAGTTATAAGAGTCAGAGAAAAATGTCATCTGCTCTTTGCACCTGCCTTTGGCCTCCCATTTGTCTCATGATCTCTGCCCTTCCCGTTCCCTCATGCAGCTCAGACCTACTTAGTCCACTCCTAGTCCTCCTGCTTCATCCTTCTCTTCAAACTGCCAGCCTACTCCTGCCATCAGGTCCTTTCAGCCTACTGAAAATTTTTTAAAATCTGTTCTGTATTATGGTAGCAAGGGTTCCCCTGAGAAAAGTAGTCTTCTTCTCCCTTGCGTACCTCTCTTCACAGTATTTACTCCTCAAGCAGAGGGACAAATTCTGATGGGAGTATTACCCTCATTCTGTTGCAAGATGTTATTGACAGCTGGAGAGACCTGGCCATCTATGCACTGCTAATATGGTGTAGAAAGCAGAAATAGGATTTACCTTTGGCAAGCTGGAGGTATAATATACCGGAGTTTGGGCACTGGTGTAGATGGTACGTACTTTGTGGCATGAGTCACCTGAAACATCTGGGTATATATGAGTACACACTAATGTAAATGTGTACCAGAAACCTGGTAGGAGAAGATCCCACTGAAGAAGATTTAGCTGCATAAAATGGCCCAGGATGACCAACCTGGGGCAATGTCAGAGACAGGCAAGGATTTCACATCTTCTGAGTGACCTCCATGAGCTGTGCATCTTGTTTTCCAATCCTTCCAAATTTCAAGCAAAACACTGGAGGCCCCAAAAGCCTCTCTGGCGAGACAACTCAGATTTTTTTAATTAAGTACCACTCATGCTCAGCATGACAATAGTTCCTACAGGTAAACAGAGAACAAGCAGGCAATTACGAAGTCCATGTCCCTGACATAGAAACTTGACAATGTATCATGTAGATCTGGGGAATGAGGACTGCTCATGGTTTCATGCTTTAAAAAAGCTGAAAGACACACCAAAATAATGTCCTCAGTATTTCAATTTCATGTGGTTCACTTAAGCTAACAGAATATTCAGAATATTGGGAAAAGAGGAAAGGAGACATTTGCAACTATCTGCACTTTAGACACTCATGAAGAAAAGCAGGATTCACTGTGGAGCTTGTACACGAGTGTTCCCTTTTACCTTTATTCGAGATGGGGAGATGTTGAGGTACAACATCTTTTATGGCAAACGATGAAAGACAAATGTGATTGATTTATTTCATGTGTCCCATTCAGAGAGGTATTGTGGAACTTACTGAATTCGAGGAAAAAAAAAAAAAAAAAAAAGTATATATGAGCAATGCTTTAGTAGAAAAGTAGAAAAGTTAAATGGTGCAAATATGGGGACTCCTGCCTTCTTTATGAAGGTTGTCAGCACTGTAATAACCACTGCTCATATGTCACAGTTATTTCCTGATACAAGAATAATGCAAAAAGGTCAATCTATTGCAGGTGTTTTCATATCATAATTAAAAATTTAAGGTTGGAAAGAACCTCTGGAGATCTCTTGATCACCCTCATACTACAAGCAGCTCTGTCTTTAATGACCCATCATATGGCTTGGGGACTTGTTCAGTCAGGTTTTGAACACCTCCAGTGATGGAGGTCCCACAGCCTTGGTGAGCCCCTCTGCTTGTGCCTGGACAGAGTTTGCTTCCCTGTTGGTCCTGGTAGGCTGAAATTGCATAGGTTTTTAGAAAACAGAAGCTTATGCGACTGCGTGAAGTACCTCTTGTTCCTGCCCATTTGCAAATAGTGTTTTTACTTCAAGTCTCATGTCTGAAATCCATCGGCAGCCTGCCACACAGCGTAACTGGAACCGGATACATCACAATATTAGACGATAAAGAGGACAGACAAGAAACTCTACTTAGATGTCCTCAGGAAAAGTAATACAATTGCAGAACTGAAGACGTTCCAAACTAAGATTATACTGAGAGGAAATACAAAGAACAGAGCCATTTGGAAACTAATAATCAAGGAATGCAGCCTCCTGCAGGTAGTAGATTTTTGTCTTCTTGTATCAGGCAGTTTGCAATCTGACCTTATTGTTGATCCAGACAAGGCTATGGCATGGAGTGTCTTGCTTTGCCACTGCATTAGCGCCTGCTTTTCTCATATACAGTAAATGTATATCTCATGGGATGGACATAGGAAACACATGCACTGTGTCTCATGATGCTTGGACAGCAGCAAACTATGAAGCATTATGGGACTACAGCCTTGTGAAAAGACAGAATGTCCCAGTACTTTCTGCACAGGGCAATGGATGCCTGCCCTCATGTTTCTAAACAAGAAACATGAAGGAAGGATTTTGATAGATTGAGACTGACAGTGAAGGAAGCCATAGCTGACATATCAGACTGATTAAAAGGTTATTTTTCTGAGGGCATGGTTAATTATGCAGACCTAGAGTAGCTTGACTATCGTAGTTATACTCACTATCATTGTTATTTTTTTGTAGGATTGTAATGCCTAGGAGTCCTGCTGGAGCCTGAAACCACGTTGTGCTGGATGATGCTTGGACACATATCATAAGCAATTTGAGACATAGCAATATAAATGGACAAGACAGAGAGTGGGAGGAGAAACAGAGGCACAGAGATAAGATGATGCTGTAGATCATTTAGAGTATCATCCATGAGTTGAAGCCATGCAGGTCTCTATTGTTCTGCCCACCCAGCTGGGTGAATGGAGAATATCCCAGCTTTGAAAAAATGCTGTTTCTCCTAATTCTTTTCCCACAATTCTGACATTTAAATCTTTTTTCCTAGTTGTGACTGGAAAAGTTGAACATTTTTTATATCCATTCTAAATCAAAATATCATTTTCATTGTCACGTTTCTGGGGTTTTTTGACATTATCCATAATAATATCTACCTTACACTGGAAGCAAAAATGTAGAATACCATGAATTTGCAAAGATCACAGAAGACTTTAGAGCTTTTGTAGAAAGCTGGAGAAAAATCCTCAACAGGGGTTCCAAGCAAGAAGAGTCAGAAAAGACCAAAAACTCTCTAATTTTGTATTATGTTATAAAGCCAGACCATCGCAGTTTAGGATATCCAAGCTGCCTTTCAGAGAGGATGGATAATTTCCAGAAAGGTAAATGGGCAGGACGAGGACTCATAACTTCAGATGATGACCAGATATATGGACTGAGAAGATATTGGACTACCAGCACAAAAGACAATGCCAAGAAGTTAACCAATACCCAGCTTCTATTAAAAGTGCCTAAGACCTGACCTAACACTTGGTGACAATGTAAGAAAAAACAAACTATCAAACAAGCTTTGAGATGCTCACATACAGGACTCAAAACAGTTATGGCACGTGGAAGTGCAAAACAGAGGCATGAAAGTCACAGAGGTACTGAGAAACCTCAGGGAAACCTCCTGCTGGAAATCAGTGTGGATGGGTGGAACGAAGTGGTGTTTTGTGTTAGCAAGAAGCAGAGCGTAGAGAGATGAAATGTTATGGCAGGGGCAAAAGAGTGTTTTGGTGCAAACCACTGTCAGGAGCGGTGGCTGGAGAAAGAAAGTCCCACTAGCCTCCTCTGTGCCTCCAGCTCCAGCCTAATCACCATTAGTGTCCATACAGTTATCAAATGTGTAAACATTAATGGGAAATATGTGAGTCTTTAATGTCTCAAAAATGAATTGAAAGATAATTACTGATTATGTTGGCTCAGATATTTTAGGTGATGGATTTGTCCACAAAAGTAAATACAAGACTGTTTCAGACCGAACTCTTGTATGGGTTAAAAGTAGTAAAATTTGTATAAAGTGCCATCGTGAACTGACTTTTCTCACTTTAAATTTCAAAATGGACAAAAGTAAGTCCAGAATAAAGGTTTTGAAGCTTAGAAAAGCAAACTTTGAAATCTAAGGAAATGAATTATTGAGTTTGACTAAACAGCTCTGGGATCTGTGTGCAGAAAATGCATAGGTACTTAAAATTCAAGATTCAAAAGGGAGAGAGAGCAATGAGAAGAAGTATGTTTCAGAGGTTATAAACTGCAAAAAGAAAGTAAGAATGATCAAAAACCTACCTCACGTAGGAAATTAAAATTATTAATAGTAAATGGTGCTTAATTCACAGAAACCAAGGAGAACAAAAAGAAAATTAGGACAGTTACATGCTTGAGGCAAAACTAGATCAGAAGTTACTTATCTCTAAGAGTGAAAATCTTATTTACTGCAGTTAACAGCATCAACAGTGTGATGTCAAGGGTATGAACAGGACTACCAGTGTAAACAACAGTAGGACACTAGGCATGACATCATCTGAGGTGAAGCCACTATCTCTCTTGGTTCAAGTGAAAAATGAAAAGCTGATTCTTACCTAGACCAGTAGCAGCATTGGTACACAAAATGACAAATCAAATAGGGACAATATATAACAATTATGTAAATCAAGGATAGTCTTCATAATGGGAGAGCAATAAATATAACACTTCTATCCGGAAGAGGTGAAGAATGATTCAGACAAGTGTAGGCCTGTTAGTTTGATGTCAAAGTTTTGAAACAAGAATAGATAAAGCCAGGGAAGATAATTTACCGAAACTAAATTCTTTCGGGATAATCTAGCAGCATTTCTTGGTAGGACCAGTGCTCCCCTACACGAGACATACATGAACTAAATCAATCTCACTTTCCATGAGCCATATTTGGGTTCTGGAGATGAAAGTGACTAAAGGGAGTCTGCAACTGTTCACACTGAAGAGGTAATTACAAGAAAAAGAGAGGTTACCTATGGTGATACTCAAGACACAGTTCTGAAACTACTGCTGTGACAGAAGCATATGAAGAAATGTAGGCTGGAAGGGACCTCTGGAGATACAATCCCCTGCTTATTGCAGAGCTGACTTCAAAGTTAGATCTGATCAGTATGGGCATGGTGGCCAAAACTAAACATTAGATATGAGCTTCACAATTTGCAGGTCACACAAAACTGGGAAGTATTACCAAGCCTGACAGAAGAATTGTGTAACACCATTGATTGAAATGGTTCAGATGAGGAGACATTTGATAACACAAGGCAGAGTCATGTCCTTAGTGGTTCTCAATACAGACTGTCTCTTTTTGTGCTTATTATGAAATAGGGGTTCAGGAGTTAAGAAGTAAAAAGAAATAAAAATGCATGAACATAAGGAGGGTGGAAATATTTCGAAGTGTTTATAGGATGCATAAGGCTATTCATTTTTTTTCACTACGAATACACTGGACAGGCCAGCCCTGACACTCATTTGAGACATGTTGCACAGTTCTGCAACTTGTGTTCATAATTCCTTTAGGAGGAAATGTTCATGTAACTGCAGGAAAATATTTTCTGTGTAAATATCAAGGAGAAACAGGAACTGGGTAAGTTGAGAGTTAGGTCTGTAACAGCGGCTGAAGGTGGATCATAAGCAAGTTTAGACTGGAAATTAGTAGAAACTTTCCACCTCAAGAATAAAGTGCACCAGGGGTATCAAGTCAACATTCACCTAAAAAGCAGTGGTCAACTCATCATATCCCACACAGAAAAGCTGAAGACAAGCCAGAACAGTAGCAAACGTGTTGGGGTCTACTCACAGAGAAGTGCCTAACTCTCCCAGTACCTGCAGGTGTTCTGGCAGACAAGACCAGAATAATCACATCCCATCAGTCAAGTACATGGATATTCTTACACCATACTCTTGATTACTGTAGCTAAAACATCTTTATAAATTCCTCTTTTAGGGAACTTGGCAGTAAACCTGAAATCACTGTGTCTTCTGGAATATAGATGGTTTGGTTGCCTCATCCATCTGCATCCTTCTGCCCTACATGCATTGTGTGGAACAATTAGCAGCTTTTTTTCTGTAGAAGAGTCCTGTGGCTAAGTAGTGACCTGTGATGCACATGATGCAGAGTTTCAACCAGGGTCGCAGAGCTATTGGTGAAGCCTCTAACAGACATGATATAAAAAATACTGGTATTGATACAGGAGCACTTTCTGAAGCTTTAAAAATCCACCATCCCAACAAAACTACTACTGGACCTGTTATGCTCAGCCCATAGTCCTGGAGAAAATGCATTCCCATCTTCCATTACATTTGGTGTCATGAAGCAGGAGCAATTGTTTGAATGAAAATTCTCACAATAATAGAGAGGCATTTTGTCTGATAGAAAGAGGTATAATGTGGCTAAGTCATTATCAAGTCTCCAATAGAAAGATGTATTACATAGAGGTAAACTGGTAAAAACAGGAAAATTAGTTTTTGAAGTACCAAGATTATGAAATGTTTTCCATTAACTGGATCCAACATATGATCCTTGTTCTACACAGACTATTAGATTCTAAGATTTCTTCTGAACCTAATAAAACCATTTTTGAAATATTCAGTCTTTGCTCATTTGCATTTGCTTACAGAAAATTGTCTACTGTAAAGACAGCAAAGCAGTAATTATTTAAATTAGTTTAATAGATGTTTAGTAATGCTTTGATTAAAATATCAGTTTTAGATACCAGTAAGTTTGTGAAAAGCAGAGCGTTTAAATAATAATTTTTTTTTCAAGAAAAATTTTCATTTTGCACAAATGATTTTGAATGAAAAACCCTTTTCATATAAAAATTTCAGACACTCACTCAAACAATGAAGCCAGTGCAGAACTGGGGTCTATATGGTAACCCAAACAGATAAAAGATAACATATATGAGATAGAAAAGGGACACATCTCTGTCAGATGAAACATGGATGAATACACCTCCACAAAAGAATAGTTTTATTATGCGGGTGATGCCCAGGTAACTCCAATTTGCCTGGAAAACTCTCCTGTAGGACTGACAGAACTTTGGTCAGAAATTAAGGTGAAGGCCATTGGCAAAAGTCAAGGCCAATCTAACAAATCCATATGAACAACCAAGATGGAAGTCAGCCCCAGGCTTCCTCATTTCACCCTATATGGTAGCAATCTGCCCTGGAATCACAGGAAAAGAATTTGTGGGGTTTCCTAGTCCATTGCTCCGCCTCTACACATGAGGAACTACACATTTATCACTCCTGATAAAAACTCATCTAATCTGTACTCCAAAATATTCCACAGTCTCCCTGGTGACTGACCTAAATCTTGTCATGCAAATTAAACTCAGTAGTTTCTAACCTATTCATAATAGATATAGAAGCAAGGCTGTTCCCTCATTCTTTTCATATGTCCCCTAAATAAGCTTTTTCTCTGGAAAAACATCTCAAATGCATTTTTTTCCCTCAGATACCCCTATCCAACTGGTCTACCTCTTTCTCAAAATGTAGTTCTCTAAACTGGCTACAGTACTCCCACTGTGAGCCTGCCCATTCTGAGCACAAGATGATTACTGCACATGCTTAAAGAATGGCAAATATATTTTTTTTTTGTTTTGTTTTCTCGTTCAACAGCAATGCGTTATGCCTGACTCATGCTCACCTTGTGACGCATTATTGCATCCCAGGTCCTCTTCTACAGTATTATTGCTAAGCTAGATTTTTCCTGCCCAATACTCACTGGAATATTTATTCTCACCTGTAAGGAACAGCATGTTGCACTGGTGTGTATCTAGCTGTACTGAATTTCTTCAGTACATTTCTCCATATTGTCAGGATTTTGCTGAATTTTAAGCTTTTGTTTTTATGACTGTTCACCCTCAAATGGAGTGGACAGAGGAAGAAGATATGGGGATTGCTAGATGAAAATAACAGCAGTAAGAAATCTCCATTTGCAGGATGTGAGGATTTGGTGGCAGCTTTGAACTGCAGTCATTAAAATGTACATCCAGGGGTCGATTTGGTCTTCAGGATAAAACAATAAGATTTATAACTCAGAAATGTTGTGAATGGCTAACCATGACTAACCACCTTCTACCTGGCAATTACTTTAATGTGGAGAGGACATCAGTTCATTATCTATTTCAACATTAGAAGTCAACTTTGAATAAATTTGTCAGATGTGGAGCTGGCCTAAAAAACAGGATTTCTATCATTTCTCAATAAAACTGTGCTTCTGAGACAATAAATTTCTGAGAGAATAACAACAGTAAAGGTGACAAAGGTGTCTGCTTCACTAATAAGCAACATCTCAGGCTTTGTGCCAGCATCATGAACCCTGGCAGGCATGTAACACATCTTCACTGTAGATTTAGTGTAAGTATCAAGCCTCAGATCCTTAAAAAATGAAACAAACAACAAAAAACAAACCAAAAAACCAAAATGAAAATATTTTGAGCTCAGTAAAAATGTTCTTTCTAACATCCTGTTCAGCTCTCTCTGTGCTACTTGCTGTTGGGTAGGAACACATGGGAAGTGAAACAAACCCACAACCAAGCTGCAATGATCACTGGGAACTGTTTGAAAAATATTCTCTGCTGAATTTAATCTAACTTTTTTTTTTTTTTCTGAGGCAATCATCCACACCAAATTTTTGACTGAGGGCTGAGTAAACAACCAGTCCATTCAGTATTTCTTTCATTGCACAACTAAAAGCAAACTTGTTACACGCAGTCTGCACCACATAATAATGTAACTGGAGGAATGGAGGGGAACAGGTGGATGTCCAAATGAAAATAATTCAGCAAGTGTAGCAACAGCAGAGACATGTCTTCTCAGCAAAGCCATTGACATTGTCATGAGCTCATCTTTAACCATTAGAAATTTCTCTGCCAGAGGCCTGTCCCAGCAGCTCATATCTATACAGTCCCAAACACAGCAGTGTGAAATATCAGTGCTATACAGTCATTGCAAATAGCATTATGGAAAGCAATAAGAGAACAATCACTAGTGGGTGTCTTAGAGA